TTTTTTTCCTTTTTACTGCCCTGCGCACCATGTGGTAGAGGAACAAATGAGTAGTGCAATGGTTTTAAAAAGGAGAAGTAAAGAGCTTAGATAAAAATTCATTTAAATATTTCTGAAACAATTGTGTTTGAAGTCAGAGAAAAGATATGACCTTTCGTGAATGAATTAAAAAAATGTATTAAACACATACTATGTGTCAAGCACTGTGCTAAGCATTGAGGAAAACTAGAGAAAAAAGCAAGAGTTTCTGCTTGCTCAAGAAACCCTCACTCTTACTGGGGGAGACACACAATAAACAAAAAGTTCAGCTGCAGGGTGGATAGGAAGGTTTAGAAGTTCTAAGGGTACAGTCACAAGTAGGTCAGATAACAATGGGGAAAGTGTTCAGTGGGGAAGATGGTGAAGTCTGGAAAACCTTATGACACAGTGGCAGTACAGGTACTAAAGCTTAATGGTCCTTTATCTCCCCAAAAGGAATAGAATTGGTAACTCCTAGGTCACCCACATTAAGTCAACAAACCCAGATGGCTTATGGGTACTTCATCCCAGGAGGGCTCAGGGAAGAAAAAGTAAAGAGACAGGATGCCCCTGTGGTGGTGGGTCTTCCCAACTAGCCCAGCTATCCAGGATGGACTCTGGGATGACCAAGAGAAGAAAAGAAGAAGGAAGACAAGGTGGAGGGGTATGCTCCCAGTGGTGGTGGGTCTTTCCACTACCTGGTTCTCTGGGATGGGTTCTGGGAAGACCTGAGAGAGATTGCAAGAGGAACTTGAGAGAAATGTTACTCCTAAGGTCCCCATTTAGGAAGAGGGAGAAGGACTAGATCTGTGATTTCACTGGCATTGGGAACTCCCTCTACAAATGTAGTTCAGCACCTTTTCTCAACTAGTCTTGGATAGTTGCCTAGGACACTGAAATGTTAAGTGATTTGTGTGCCAGAATGTGACAAGTGGCTGGTCCTGAACCCAGGTCTTCCTATCTCCCAGGCCCAGCTTTCTATTCACTATGCCAAACTGCCTCTCATTATCTCTTAAACTGACAAATGAGAAACGAAGAGGAAAAAAGAAACATCATCTCATGGCTGACTAGTTAATTTTAACATCTGACAAATCTACAATGGAACCAAATGCACTAATGTAAAAATACTTAAGTAAAAAGGCAGACATGCTATTTAGCCAATTTCAGTTTTTAAACAAAATGTAAACTTGCTGAAGAGACAGATGACATAGAGGATGAGAAGGGGTGGTTGAGCTGTGAGTTGCATCAGATATGAGACCAAAATATTCAGTATCTACTTTGTTCTTAATTCTGTGTTAAACATGAGAGTTCTTTCTTCTAATATAAATTTTATATTTATTTATATGATATATAAAGGATCAGTTCAAGGATCATTATTGTAAGGTTTTTATCCTGAAGAATAATTTTTAAAAAGCCATTTTAACCAAAAAAGGGGAGGAAGGAAACAAGAACATGTTAAAAGCAGAAGCAGAATGTATAGGCAAAGACGTATAAGGAAAGGAGCAAACATTATAATATGGAGAAAGAGGGGCCAACTGGCAAAAAAAAAAAAAAAAAAAGAGAAAGCAAATGGTTAAAGACTTCAGAATTTTGATTGCCATGACTCCAAAATAATGGAGATGAAACATGCCATTCACCTCCTGACAGACGCAAAGAGGAACTTAAAATGCAGCAGGTAATATACATTTTCAGACATGCCCAATGTGGGAATTTGTTTTGCTACACTATTCAACTATGCATCAAGGTCTTTATTTTTTGTTGCTGTTGTTTTCCCTCAGTGAGAGTGGGGGTAGTGGGAGAGACAGATTAATTTGAAAATAAAAATAAACCCCAAAGAATATTTATGCTCTGAAACACTTTACTTATTTCAATACACTTTTCTGCTATGCAATGATGCTGCTCTGAATTGAAACTCAGGCACTGAACCATACGGCCAAAGAAGAACTGTGAAAATATACTGCATCTTGCTACTAAAAAAAAGCATTTTGATCCACGACTTCAACTTCAGAACATGTATTAATATTACCATTGGGAGTAAATGTGGAACATTTATTGAAAAAATATATTTAAAATGGAAACAATTTATGTTTAAAATTACTGTGTTGAAAATGCATGGTATATAAAACATAAAACAAATTTTACAAAAGAAGGTAGACGGATAGTGCCACAGAATCATAGAATTCTAGAACTAGAAGGAATATCATAGATTGTCTAGTCCAGGGATGTTCAATCTTTTTTTGTTTATCATGGACCTCTCTGGAAGTCTGATAATGTCTTTTGACCCCTTTCAGAATAATGTTTTGTTGCTGACATTCGTAACTGAAGGATATGTCAAATTTTAGTCAGAGGTTAGTGAAAATAAAGATGTAATACTTTTTCCCATCTAGTTCAAGGACCCTATGAAACCCTGCCATAGCCTTAGGTAAATCAGGAAATATTCCACTTCTATGGTTTCACCCTCTGCACAACTAACTCCCTGCCCCCTGCCTCAACCAATTACTGTACTCAAAGATTTACTTAGGGATATTATTATTGGCTAGCCAGATGAGAGAGTGGGAATCATGAAGACTTAGGTTCAGGGGTGTGCTAGAGCCAGTTCATACTGGCTTGTGAGAACTGACTGTTAAATTTCTAGTGTGAACACTTACACATTGGAACGCAGTAATGATGACAAATCAGGGCATGATTTATTGTTTTCTTAATTGTCTAGATTTTAAAAAGTGACTGAGAAAATGTGAACAAGGCAGATTAAAAACTTAAATGTGTATCCTGCATTCATTTGTTTCAAGAGCCTATTGCCAAGCACTTACTAGCATACTATTTGCCTGGGTTCAATTCCTGAAATAAGAGAATTAAACTTGATGACCTCAAAGATCCCTTCTATCTGTAAATCTACCTGTGACCTTTTCAGTGCATAAAAGGATATAAATTCTAGCATATCTATATAATTAGTCATTTTTTCTATGGATCTTTTATGTTTTCTGTTAGTAATACAATTAAGTTGTCATGTAAACAGCTATGATATAGTGGGAAGAAAAATGAATTAGGTGTCAGAAGAATGGGTGTGCGTCTCAGCTCTACCAGTTATTAGTGGTATGGTCATGAACCGGTAACAACATTTTTAATTCTCAGTTTTCTGATTTACAAAATGAGGATAATGACATACTACCTCCTTCGTGGGTTGTTGTGATCATCAAATAAGTTGACAGACCATACATAATGCATTTTGTAAACTATGAAGTGCTAAATAAGTGTGTTATTTATTAGGACAACAACCCTTTTCTTTAATACTTCCAGAATCTGCTTCTCCAGTGGGGGGTACTCCTTCCCTGACATAGATCACAGATACTCTGGAGTTTGATATATGATTTCTGAGAACTAATGTGGTTAAAAAAAATAATTAATCACCATGCAGCCAACGTGATGATGAACCTCTCCACTTGGGCTGGCTTCTCCTTGGACAACAAACTGTCCACCGCTGGGTTGGCATTTGAAGGCTTTCTAGCTCCAAAATGCCTGTCAAACTTACATTTTTGCTAACAGAACTTTCAAGAAGCTATAGGGTTATTACTTCAACAACACAAAGAGATGTTGGAATGATAAAAATTTAACACATAAAATTCAATTAAGCAAGACATTTCCTAAAATCCAACAATTACAACAGTTTATTTTCCATTTAAAAAAGTAGATGTTTATTTTCTTTCTTTAAATAAACAGGCAGCTGGAAAAATGATCCTTGGATGATTAATTTCATTATCTATTTTTTATATTAGCCAAATGCTCTAAAATTTTACTTTCTAGTCAATATTTTCTGTTGTAAAAATAATAAAAAGAAACATTAACACAATATGCTATAATTTTTTATAGCAAACATTACAAAATAATATATTCCAAATTAACCATTTGCAGTTAACTTGTGTCTAACTATGAATTAGGTGAACTCTATGTTTTTGAGCTACATTCTGAGATCAAGATTCTAGAAATTCTAACTCTGTTTCAATCACTGATTTTACATTAGCCTCAGGTAAATTGATAAATCTGAGCTATGCCAATTTTCCACATCCTGAATTTCTAGCACAAAAATAAAGACAACACTCACATAGTTGCTATAAAAATGGACAATACATAAACATTGTTCCCATCTAACATACAACTGTTAAATACAAATAGCTAACCTACCTCTTCAGTAAGAGTTTCTCTTCCTTCCCTGCTGACACAGTATCTAGCATCTTGGAAGATTTAGGTTATCAGTTAGTCATACATATTGATCAAAAAGAGATAACTGGCTTGCTTAGACTTGGATAGATGGTGCTGGAACCACTTTGGTATTCATGTGAGAGGAACTAAAGCAGACAAAGATATAGCACAGCCAGCATGGACGTTGTTGGCTTCTCCTTTAGTGCTAAGGTTGAAGCAATTCCTTTTCTTGGCAAACTGTTTTAACAATGAACTTTTTTTCTTTTTTTTAACAAAAAGCACCAATATTGATTCTAATTAGCTGGTCTTTCTGGGTTATCAGAATGAAGTTCTGTATTGGGGCAATATTTAACATGTTAATTTTAAAATGTTTCCAGTAGGTAAGGTGCTAGATAACACACTTCTGACTGTAGTAAAGATGCTCTGCAGTGTTGTACAGGAGGAAAATTACTAAATTCATGCTGGATCTTCCAGTTTCTGTGAGTTTGCTATAAGTGAATTTGGAATAATGCATCTGAATTTATTTTTCTTTTGACCAGGAGGTATTCTAAACAGGTGAGTATCTGAATAAAATGTCTAATGCTTTAAAATGTTTATATATGAAATTCCTATCCTTTTTGGGAGAGTTTCTAATTATCTTTATTATATTAGTAAAAAAGATTTCATATTAGAACTATCAATAGTAGAGACTTTTGGAGTTATACAATTATCGATTAATGAAGCAGAAGTAAAACTGCCCATGCAAAAAAGCTTAATTATTATACATAATATGAAATTAATCTTACCCACTGCAACCGATGACCTTATTATATAAATAGGAAGGCAGGCCTTTCAGGTGAATGTTGTTATCCACATACACATACTGTAGCTCTCGAGATCGACCTAAATCTGGGCCAAAAAAGGATACGATAAGAGAGGTAGCTCTGGTGTAATGGAAGGAACACTGGACTTAGATTTGCCGTAGGATGGCATAGTGACAAGAATGTTAGATTTGGATTTGGAAGAATTGCATCTCCAGTTCTGTTCCTTATGACCTGTCTGATCTTGTGAGAGTTATATTAACCTCTTTCTGCTTCAGTTTCCTCAAATGTAAAATGAAGGCATTGTACTAGATGACCTTTAAGGTCCTTTCTCATTCCAAATCTATGATTTTTATGAGTTCTGGTTCTGCCATTAGCATAGTGCATGACCTTGGTCAAGTCCCATAACCTCTGTGAGACTTGGTATGCTCTTCTGTAAGCAAGGAGACTTGGACTAGGTGGTAAAGCTGTCAAGTGCTGTCATTTTTTCTATTCTAATGACAAGAGACAAACACCAAATAAGATAAAGACTGAAAGTGAATAAACAATATTAAAATGTGCCTTTATTCCAGATTTTAAAAATTGTTATAGAAAAGAGTATGAAATAGCACTGTTCAATTCAACAAATATTAATTAAGCACCTATCTGAAAGGAACTGACTTAGATACTGAGGATGAAAAGATAAAATGAAAGTCTTCACCCTCATGCAGTTTATATTCTACCAATAATAATGACTAACACTTGTATATTGCTTTAAGGTTTGCAAAGTGTTTTATAATGTCATCTCATTTAATCTTACAATTTTATAGGTGAGGAAACTAAAGCTCAACAAGGTTAAATGAATTCATGGTCACAAAGCTAGTACCTGTCAAAGGCAATACTGGAAACTGTCTTTCTTGACTTCTAATCCAGTGTTCCTTCCACCACATCTTATTTTTTGCCATAGATAAAAATCAATAAAACTTATTATAGCACCATATAAAAGCTTAGAAAATGAGCATTAGGGGCCTAAAACTGGAATATGGCTCTGAAAGGGTTTACTTTGTTCAAAAAGAGCAGGATAGGTCAAAAGACAGAGTGGTATTGTATATTTAAAAGGTATGATTAGTAATCTAGTGTTTGACAAACTCAAAGATCCAAAATTTTGGGACAAGAAATCACTATTTGACACAATTGCTGGGAAAACTGGAAGACAATATAGCAAAAACTAGGTATAGACTTCACATCATATACTGAAATGAGGTTAAAATGGGTCCATGATATAGATATAAGTAAATTATGGTGCATTGAAGATTTTTCCTGTCAGAATTATGGGAGCATTGAAGACTTTTCTTGTCAGAATTATGGATAAGAGAAGAATTTATAACCAAATAAGAGATGGAAAACATCACAAGATTAAAATGGAGAATTTTGATTGTATCTAAAACTTTTTAAAGTATTTGCACATACAAAACCAATGCAGCTAAAATTAGAAGAAAAGCAGGAAACTGGGAAAAAAATTTTATAGTAAATTTATCTGAAAAAGACTTCATTTCTCAAATATATAGAGAAATGAATCAAACTGATATGAATATAAATAATTTCACAGTGATAAATGGTCAAAGGATATCAACAGGAAGTTTTCAGAAGAAATCAAAGCTATCTCTAGTTATATGAAAAAATGCTCTAAGTCATTATTGATTAGAAAAATGTAAATTAAAACAATCTGAGGTACCATCTCACATCCATTAGATTGGCTAATATGACAGAAAACAAAAGTGACAAATGTTGAAAGGGATATGGGAAAATAGGGACACGAATGCAATGTTGGTGAATTTGTGAACTGATCTAACCATTCTGGAAAGCGATTTGGAACTATGCCCAAAAGGTTATAAAACTATGCATATCCTTTGACCCAGAAATACCACTAGCAGGTTTGTATCCCAAAAAGATAAAAAAGGAAAAAGGACCTATATATACAAAAATGTTTGTAGGAACTCTTTTTGTGGTGGCAAAAAATTGGAAATTGAGGGGATGTCCATCAATTGGGGGATGGCTGAACAAGTTGTGGTATATGATTATGATGGAATACTATCGTGCTATAAGAAACAATGAGCTAGAATTCAAGGGAGGGGACCCTGCGGCCTTGAGGTTGCATGTGGCCCTCTAGGTCCTCAAGTGTGTCCCTTTGACAAACTTCACAGAACAAGTTTGTTTGAAGTTCAGATTCAGTCAAAGGGCCGCACTTGAGGACCCAGAGGGACACAAATGTCCTAGAGGCCACAGGTTCCCCATCCCTGATGCTCTCACAAAAACCTGGGAAGACTTACATGAACTAATAACAAAGAGAGATGAACAGAACCAGGAGGACATTGTTCATAGTGACAGCAATATTGTATGATGATCAGCTGTGAATGACTTGGTTATTCTCAGCATTATAGATCTGAAGGACTTAGGATGAAAGAATGAAAATACTCTTTTCTCTCCAGAGAAAGACTGAAGGAATATGAATACAGATTGAAGCATACTTTTTTTTTTTTACTTTATTTATTATTCTTGGGTTGTTGTTTTTTGTTTTTGGTCTGTGTTTTCTTTTGCAATGTGGCTAATGTGGAAATATTTTGCATGACAGCACATATATAACCTATATCAAACTGCTTGCCTTCTCAAGAAGTGGGGAGATGAGAGAGGGAGGGAGAGAACTTAGAACTCAAAATTTAAATGAATGTTAAAAATGTTTGTTTACATGTAATTGAGAAAAAATAAAAATAAACAACATATGTACTAAAAAAAAGGCATGATGTGAGAAAATCCTAGAATCAGAGTAGGAAAGCATATTAAGAACATGTGGGTATAGATTAACTGAGGTAGGAACAGAAGCAATATTGCCAATGGTACATACTATAAGCTAGCCAGACATAAAGATAAATAGCTAAGGAGTACAGGAAATATTGAACCTATCAAATAGGAATAATAAAGTAGTGGGGGGGGGACTTAAATTATCCTGGTATAATAAAAGCTCCTCGAGAGCAAGAACTGTCTTATTTTTGTCATTTTATCCTCAGAGCCTAAATTAGTATACTACCTAGCAAATAAAGAAACATTTCATAAATACTTGTTGGATTGAATACAGACTAAGGACAACTGCTGAAGATTTCTCTCTGCCAAAAGTAAAATAGTTAATAAATTATTCTTGACTTGCATTAATACTAATTTTATCTTATAAAAGCTGGGGAAACTGAGTCTTACCTAGATGAAGGAGCGGCTCGCTAGGATGGAACTATGGGAACCTTGGGTAGAAATCAACATTTAATATTAGAATTTGTATCAAAAAAGAAAAGAAAGCCAATTATAACCTAACGATTTCAGAAGAGTAGAATTTAAAGGGTTCAAAGAAAGGACAGATATACTCCTATGGAATAAAGTTGTACAGGTGAAGTCAGTATAGAACAAATGGGAATATCTCAAGAATTACATTCTAAAAATATGAAAAAGGAGCAAATCTGTTGAAAATTAAAAGAAATGTCTGAGAAAATTAATATGGATGTATCAGGAACTCATCAACTACATCACGTTTCAAGGAGATATATAAGGAAAATGAGAGCAAGAGGATGTAATGTAAAGTGAATGACAAAAGTCATCAGATAATGTCAGGAATGTTAACGTTCAGAATAAGCTTAGGCAGTCAAATAAATTTAAGAACCACATAAAGGTTTTTGTTTTAAATCACCAAAAGAGAAGGACAAAAGAAAAGAATTGTACTGCTGTTTTGGGGAGGATGAGATGATAACAGCAAGGAAGCAGAGCTGCTCCAACACTTATTTTGCTATTTTTTTTTTTCATTTTTTTCCCCTATCAACACAAATAATCTTTGGACTGGAATAAAAATGGCTAACAGGGAATAGGTATCAAAGATAAGCAGGGAGATGTTAATGAACATCTTGCTCCTCTGCTAAATTCAAGTCACCGAACCCAGATCAATTATATTATATCCTAAGGTACTAAAAAAACTGTATGATGTGATTCCCGAGTGTCAGGAATTGTCATGATCTGTCTGTGATTCCAAGGAGAATAATAGAGATACTTCAGGAGGGTAGAAGGGAAAGGTCTCAGTTTTCATACCAAAAAAAATACGTTCTTTTCATAGTACTCTCCAGTATCTTTCTTCCTCCCTTTTCCATAGAGATGTCCTATACAACATATAGTTGTTTTTTTTTTTTTTTAAGGAAAGAAAATCAGAACAACTGACTCATATACTGAAAGTCTGACAACATGTGCAATGTGTAAGTAATATCCATAGATCTTCCACATCCACAAAAGGGTGGGTTGGGGGAGTCTTCTCATATCTCTTTGTTCAAGTAATGTTCTATCTTTATAATTGTGTTAACATTTACTTTTACATTTTTTTGGGTTGTGGTTCTATTACCTTTGTTGTAGTTACTGTGCACATTGTTTTCTTAAGAGAATGGATTCTACAAAATCTAAGCATGATACTAATTCTTGGCAAAATTCTAAATAATTAATGAATATAGAAAAGGAAGCAATGCCTGAAAAATGTTAGCATGGCTTCATTAAAAAATGTCATGATTGACTAGACGGAGAGGGGTGGCCTAGGTGAATAGTACTGTGAAGTAGATTTGGAACTGGTTGAATGGCTGGACCCAAAGAGTAGTCATTAATAAAGTTTGAGGTCACCTTGAAAGAATGTCTTTAGTAGAGTGCCACAGAGATCTGTCTTTAGCCCTATGCTATTTAATAGTTTTATCATTTACTTGGATTAAAGGTATAGATATCAAATTTGCAGATGACAGAAAGCTGGGAGAGATAACTAATAGTAGAAGATAGATTCAGGATTCAAAACGATCCTGAGAGCTTAGACTATTGGGCCAAATCTTAGATGAAATTTAATGTCTAAATCAAGGTCTTATATTTAGATTTAAAAATCAGTTTCATAAGCACAATATTATAAAAGGGGTAGATAGAAGGCAGTCTATCTGAAAAAATACCTAAAGGTTTTAGGATACCGCAAGTTGACTGTAAGTCAGTAGTTTGATATGGGAGCCAAAAAAGCTAATGAGATTTTGGGCTGCATTAAGAGAATAATGGTCT